AGGAGGAAAAGAGGGAGCCCCCAAATTTGTCGCCTCGAAGAGACCGCCCGTCGAGAAGCACACGAGGAATGTCGGCTATAACCTTGAACCGGCACAAAGTCCGCAAATTGACCACTCTGGCTCCCTTCCTCAGTCGTGGAAACTTGATCGTCACCCCCGTCGTCTTCTTCATTGCCGATCAAACGCTGATGGTACATACATACTCTTTCTCTCAATTCCTCATCTTCATCTCTTCGTTAATCGGTACTCTCCTGTCTGTCTCAGTCATCTTTGGAGTTTCGATCAAAGTAACCAAACTTGAACATTTCCTCTTCTTCCTTTTTTTGCCCAAAACACACACACACACATCCGTATGTGATTACTTAGCCTCGACTGAATGCCAAGGAAGTCGATGTACTCTTCTCGCACCCCTTGGAGAATTTCCTCACAGGTAATGACCGTTCAATCAGTCCATTTGTAATTCATTTTCACCGATGACTGATTCGGCCTGATCACTCTGCTTTTCTTGAAAGGACCGTTCTCTCGGTCATACCAAATCCCTTGGTTCTCAACCAACGTGCCTTATCGATTGTTTGAGTTTCCCAGTAAACATTCCCCTATCGTTGGATTTACTGCGTGAGTGATTTGGGAAATTGATGCATGACAAGGTTGGGGATGAGTTAACTCTAGATCATTGATCCCCGTTCCAAGCCTATCAAAAATTACCACCAAAAGAAAGGAAACTGGGAAGGAGTCTTTGTCGCTAATGATGGCATGAAACTCTTTTTTTTTCTCAGGGATGTTCTGATAGAAGTGGCAGTGTTAGGGTTTGGCCGAGAGCCGGATTTCGAGCGGAAAGCAGCGGGGCAGTTACCGATGACGGAGATCATCACGATAGCTCTGCGAGAAGCGCCGGAATTCCAATCCGACGACCAAGCCCATCAGGTCGCCTCACACGACATCTTGGAAGACGGGCCCAGAAGCCCGTTGGCTCGACTCCGCCACGCCTTGCAGCTTCCGTCTAACCTCCATGTCTCGGAGACCTTCTCTTCCTTGAGAAAACTCATAGGCGCCAAGTTGTAGCTTTCTTTTCATCCCTCGTTCTTGTTCAACTGGCTCTCATAATTGAATCGGTTTACTTGCACTTTGTTTGGTTTTTTGGTTCTTGAGGACCGATAAATGCTCGTAATCTCCCACTTGATACCTTTTTTCCTGACACGCTATTGTCAAACCTTCTCATACCAACATGTACCAACCTAATTGATTCCTTCTCTCATCATTTGCGGACGTAGCCCTTTAAACCACTTTTTCAATTGCAATTTAGTTTATTTTTTGTTGTATAATCAACCAACAACCTCACTATCCGGTAGAGGAAGCTATAACCAATCGGCAACCTCACAGTCCGATAGAGGAAGTTGAGCCCGTTGAGTGCTCTGCTCTTCAAATGGCCAAGCTTGGAAGCTGTGCCATCAATCGAAACCTATCTATGCCAAAGCAGAGCGCTACGTTCCTTATCGGCGTTGATGTCGTTGCAATCGTTGGGTGAAGCGTCACTCATACGCAAGCGCTATAATCAGTAGCGGTGCCATAGGTTCAGATGGGATTGATGTTCCGGTGAGAAGTATAGATGGACTAACCGATGACTTCCATGGCCATTGAGAAATGCCGTCATGATCACAATCTTCAGTCTACCCTCAGGGTCCCTGCTCGATGCAAGCAGTCTTGTAAGGATATCTAAACTGGTCCATTTGGAAACTCTACTACAGCCTAACCATGGAGTGCCTTTTGCCATCGTCCAGAAATCCAGGCCCTGGGCTTTAGCCTTTACTTTAGCTTCAGCGCATGGCACATAGATGGAGTCTTGCAATCGATTTTTTTACTTATCTTGTGGTGCTCTCATCTGATTCGTAATCGTGGGCCCCAGTCTGTATCTCCTCTTTCCAAAGCCTTTCACTTTCAAACAGTCTTACTGAGTCCTTTTCATCCCAAGTGCTCTCCGTCTGCTCCATTCCCTCTAGTTCCCTGAACTCGAGAGAAGATCTACTCGGCTATATCCCCCCCCTTCCTCCAGCCATTTAACTATCAAATATCCTATTCCCACCTCCTTCTTCCCCAACATCATGATGATCATGGCCTGCACCAACGGAAATGATGGATACCCATGCCAGGCTGAGTTCAATCGACGGATGGAGCATTACATTATCAGGAAAAAACGCTCAGAGAGAACTGTGGTTGTATGTGATCTCAACGCTCAGCTCCTTCATAAATAACTGAAGTACCTCCAAGCTAACACTGGTTGTGCTTGCACTTACTATTGTCGGTCTTCTCTTTTTTCTCAGAGTGAAGGTGAGCTGTCGATAATATATAATCTTTTGACGGACCCCGCCGCCATGCGAGCCGAAGTGGATGTGAGCCATCGGACATGGGTGAAGAAAACATTCATACTCAAGTCGTTTGCCAACGGTACATTCGTCTGCCACAAAGACAAAGGACAATCGATTGCCCAGCCGGTGGCCTCGAAGGAGAAGATGTACTACATTCTCAAGCAGGCGCACGCTTCTGAAGGCCATGGGGGTCGAGACAAGACCGCCAAAGCCGTGAAGAAGACGCACTCTTTCATCCGCAAAGGCCTGATTTGTTTGTTCTTGGAAGTCTGTCCGACCTGTCGGACTCGGAACGAAGCAGTGAAGAAAGACAAATTGGCAAACGCCCAAAACGCGAGCGAAGCTCTCTATCACCTGGATTCCGCTTCAAGCATCGGCTCATGGGACCATACCTCGTTGCAAGTCCATCCACTTCATTCCGCAAACCCTTACCAGAGTAGCAGCCATCTTCCGACATCCCCACTTTATCCGGTGGAGGACAATCAAAGGTTGACGATCCCGAGCTTAAGTACTGCCCTGAGAAGAGCGCCTTCACATGGAGTTGTTGGCACCTTGTTCCCTGATCCGGGCACTAGCCATGCGCGTAGTCACACCTTCCCACTTCTCGACAATAGTTACCCTCTTCAGGAAGACCAATTTGCTCAATCTCCCGTCGGGTTTTCCTCCCAATCTTCGCTCATGAGCACGGTTGGCTCCCAGGTCGGCTCGGCGTACGAGTCCTACAATATCGACCATCTATCAGAGTTGACGGCCGCTCTCGAGCAGCAAACTTTCTGTGCTCCCATCTTTTCGGTCCAAGTGGATGCACCTGGCCATGAATTGGGAGGGCCTTCTGGACAGGAATTCTTCCAAGATGACCAGGTTTATTTCGATCTCCAGCAGCTTCAGCAACAGGTTTCTTCCGAGGCCATGAACTCCCAGCAAGGATCATCCAGCAATATGTACGACCCCGTTAACGTCCCCTATAATCTCTTGAGCTCTCAACCCGAGCACAATTTCCAATCCACCTCCTCCGCCACCCACTTCGATGGATTCTCCAACCCAGGAGGCCCTAGCTCAGATCATCATCGGTCGCCGTCCGACTCATCGACACAAGCTCATGGTGAGAGCTATTTGAAATCCCACATGGGCCCTGTAGGGCCACCTAGCAGCTCGCTCGAGTTCAATGCATACGACATGATGTCCTCCTACAACCCGGCCGAGACGGCGGTTCTTCCGGAGACGTTCGGCTCGATGGCCTCGCAGGACAATCGTCGCCGCTCCTTCCAGGACAAGAACCACAAGCATCTCTCGCTTCAATCTCTTGATACCTCGCAGAACTTTCAGGACACCTTCCGGAACGGCGATTCCGGGACATACTCCGGCCCCTCGACTGCCGGATCCATGTGGACGACCGGCGACGACATGAACACGCCCATGTTGACCGCCGACTTCCAACACTTGATGTCCAGTCTCACCCCTCCCGTCGAAAGTCTGACTCGTGAAGAAACACTGTATTTGCAAACCTGACCGTATTTTAACCTGCTCCCCCCCCTCCACCCGGTCATTGGCCCAATCATCTCTACGGCGACACTTCGTTGACTTCAATTCATCGATCCCCTATTTCTCAAAAATCCGCTTGTCTTGCACTCTACTCTTGACTTTTTTTCCCTTTTCTTCTACTTTCTCTCCCCACTTTATGCTCTAGAGCTTCACGATCACCAAAGAAATTCGCTTCCCTCAATACTCTGTTGTCCCAGGAGGTTGTTGTTGGTCCTCACCTTCAACACTCCTCCATAATGTATATGTATCCATCCCCAGACCATATACAAATTTATATGTAAATCCAGTGGTTACAATTTTTTCTTTTTTCTTCTTCTAATTGATCCATACAAAACCCCATAATAAATTCTCCGATTTTTTTCTTTCTGTACTACGTAGTGGTCCTCTTCCGATTAGTGAATGTATTGTAGTGAGCTGATGTGTGTTTGTGTTTTTGTGCAAGATGGTTTGAGCTCTTACATGTAAGGTCTTACACATCAATCTAATTTGAATTTTTTCTTGGACGGCAATGATTTACCTACTCATTGCTTTTAATGACCACAATATTTCCTCAGAACCAAAAAAAAACTACTTAGAGTGGAAAAACTTCAGTCTTGATTTGGTGGTCCCTTACCATCTGCACACTCGAGATTGCAAGTAATCTCATCCAAGATACTCACCCCAACAATTGTGAGACAGAAATCCATTGTTGGGATTAGTTAGCTGAACATGTCTGTGGGTATGAATTGTTTTCCAGTTTAGGTCCTGCTCTTATCTTGTTCACTATGTGTTTCCATTAGTTTACTCAAATTATTGTTGACTGTTAATTCATAGAGTGTGGCTCTCTTAGAGGCTTGGTCACAAAACTCCCAAGAATTGGATTAATGATTCCCCATATCATTGGATGTCAAATGGACTGTTTATAGCTATCTGGCAGTGGTGGGCCGCTACGGGCCCATGTAACAGTAGCGTAGCGGCGCCATTTTTTTTTGTGTAGTGTTAACGCGCCGCTACTGCCGCTGCGCTCCACTAATTTGTAGTGGTGCTAACATTAGCCATTTTCTGGTGTAGTGTTACAGCGCCTCTGGCGCCGCTACACTGCTTTACGCTAGGCTACAGCGTTTTTAGCAGCAAAAAACACCTAAAAACCACTAACAATTTCTGTAACGCAGCGTAGCAGGCGGTTTTTTGCACCCTGTGCGCATAGCGTTAGCGCAGATGGGGGGGAATAGCGCTAATGCTACGCTAAACGTTAGCATAATTTTTTGCCCCATGCGTGTAGCGTTAGCGCAGAAATTGAAAAAAAGCACCAACGCTATGCTAAATTGTAGTGATTTTTTGCTACAATACGCTACGCTAACGCTACGGTTAGCGTAGCTGGCCCACCATTGTATCTGGAGAAGGTCACAGACAGACCATCTTTGATTGTGCTTTTTTTGGGGGGGGGGGGCAAATCTGCCATTTCATGGTCATATATATTAGAAGAAACCTTGGTATATAAGCTGTGGACATGACCTCAATAGCTGATTTGAGGATTGAGAAAAAGTGATTTTGCAAGCATTTTTAAAAAAAACACAATGTTTGATCAATGTGACTCCCATTCCAATTGAAAGTGCTTTCAAATTATTCATGTCAGTGGCAGCAGGAAGGCTCAATTATCATATATTGAATGACAAAGACACAATGTTAATATGAGACTGATAGTGGATTACTTGTTGTCAGATCTGGGGCCCGGTTTAATCCCAATTAAAGTCTAGATTTTTTGCAGGGAAATCTAGCTTTTGCGGCTCTAAATCAAAACTGGTTCTGTCATGTTTCCTGATAAGAAATATTGTACATCAGGTTCACTCATAATCTCTCAAAGATCAACTGATTATTGCACACAGCTTTGAGAATCTCAGGCAAATATATTATGACTGTGGAGGACTTCCCCTCAACATCTTCAATAAAAATACTTCATACAGATTTACCAACTATTCAGGACTTTTTTTTGAAAGAAAAAGAAGTGCTATTCATTTCACATGCCGCACTATCTACCTGTGCCTGCAGGCTGCTGGTTGAGTCCGATTCCTCCCCGGCAAGCAGCGACAAGGTGTACCTGTTTGTCGGGGGTTATTTCTCCTCCCAGGCGAACCACTACGGTGTGCACACCTGCTCGCTGGTCATAACACCGATGGGCGATAAGCTGTTTTTGAACCGGGAGGGGATGAGCGTATGGGATGTCCAGTTCAGGTCTATGGATGGACAGAAGCCGCATCATCCTTCGGTCGGCTCCTGCTCCATCGGGGGTTGGAATCGCCTGTAAAGAATTTGGCAACTTTGCCTCAAGAACTTTTAAAACTGAGATTTTTTATTTTATGATAACCGACATTTTACTATAAAAGATAGAAATAACAAAATAAGTCTCTTAAGGAGACATAACTTGAGTAAATACATGCTGTCTTATATATTCGTAATCCTGAGATTCTTTCCTTTTTCTTTTAATATACAAATTTTAGAAGATAAATGAGCTTTTCAATGTCGTAACTAATGAGCGATGTTCGTTATCTTAGTAACAGTATTATAACCTATCATTTGATGTGTAAAGAGAAATAGAAATTCTAGGTTTTCTAAATGTAGATATAGAAGATAAATAAATTTTTTTTTTTTTTTTTCTTCTCAGAGTTTCTGGGTCCGGAGCGGTCTAGTTTTGACAAAATGACCTGCCATGTAGCCTATAAAAGAATTCGAACGGATTTATCAGCCGGAAGTATAATCGGATTCGTGCCAAACTCGTCATGAAATTTCTCCAGATAGGGATGAATAGTCTCTGAGAAATGTCCCCCTTTGACCCAAGAATTGTCCGCCGAGGAGCCTCCTCTCCATGAGACAAGATATTCGTGTTTCTTCGCCCCCATGCGCCGATAACCAATGAGAGATTCGATGTCCTGCTCATCAAAATCCCGATGATAAAAGGTGTTGTGCCCCAAAGGCGCGGTGGGTACCTTCCTCCCGGGAAAAGTCTTAGGATCTACATAAGGTGCCAGCAGAGAAGCATGAAAAACAGGGTGAATACGTCGAAGATCAGGAGGGAGTGACAGAAGAAAAACATCATTCCCAATCTCTTTCACGATTTTGAATAGAGATGGTCGGTCCGCATCCGGATACCCGTCCGGATGCGGATATCCGATGGCAATTTCAGCAAAATTGCACATCTGCATCCGCACCCGCACCCGCTAGCGGGTATCCGAGCGGGTATCCTCGGATACCCGCCCTCTAAAGGGCCGGCGACGGACCGGCTGGAAGGGTTTCCTTCCAGCCGGCGAGGTACTTGTACCTCGTCGACTGGAAGGGATTCCTTCCAGCCGGCGAGGCACTTGTACCGAGGGTTTCCTTCCAGCCGGCGAGGTACTTGTACCTCGCCGGCTGGAAGGGTTTCCTTCCAGTCAACGAGGTACAAGTACCTTGCCGGCTGGAAGGGTGTCCTTCCAGTCGACGGTGTGGAACTCCAACGGTGCTGGCCGGTGGCAGTTGGTTGAGGGGAAGGTGCTGAGAAGCTGCCCTCGTCGTAGGTCCGGATGAGAAGTGTGATCAAAACAGGAAGTGTGAGGGGTTGGATTTGGTGAGAAGACAGCAGAAATTGAGTTCTGTGGCGATGTTTTGAGTTTGAGGATCTTGAGAAGAGTAAGGTTTGAATTGAGAAGATCTGAGAAGATGAATTGAGTTCCAGAGTATCAGGATCAGAAGAATCAAGAAAACAAGATCAATAAGGTTTGATGGGTCTATCTTGGATCAGATCAGAATGTCATGCTTCCCCATCATCTCAGTTCAAACTGAACTTTGACTCTGGGGAGTGACATGTCACAGACATGTCATCACATCCCTAACTACACACAACTCAACCAGAAAACAAAGACAACACAACACAACACACACAACACAACAAAAGAACAAAAGAAGAACACAGAATAGAACAAACAAACAAGATCAGAATAAACCAACATAAATGAAACTATGTCTTAGGACCAAGAAATAAGAAACAACACTGTCTTCTGAGTAAATGATTTGAAAGAGATAAGTAAGAATAATAAAATGATAAAAAATAAAAATAAAATAAAATCAAGATGAATAAAAAATAACATGAAGAGCATATAATAAGAGGAAATGAAATAAAATAATAAAATGAGGAAACCATTGGACTGAGTGGGGATTTGAGGTGATAATATTGAAATATTGAGTCTTGAGGATATTGAAAATTTGAAAGTTGAATTCTGAAATTGGACCTTGAGGGGGCCTGTACCGTTTAGAACACCACAACGGGGTACAAGTACCTTGCCGGCTGGAAGGGCTTCCTTCCAGCCGGCCATCTCCCCTCCCGGCCGCAGGTATCCTTTGGGATACCCGGATACCCGCCAGCGATTTGCGGAAAAGGGGCCATCCGCACCCGAATCCGCACCCGCTGGCGGGTATCCGTTGGCACAGGCGGGTATCCGCCAGCGGATAACGGGTATCCGCGACGGATACCCTTTGACCATCTCTAATTTTGAAGGGTCCCAAGCGTTTGAAATCCAGTTTATCGGAGGGACGCTTCGTGGTAATGTTCTTTCTCAACAACCAAACCCAGTCATCCACAGCGAACGGAGGTGTCTCGCGAGATTTCCGATCGAAATGGTCCTTCTGAACTTCCTTCGCATGTTTCAGAATCAATCGTAAAGAATCCTGTATCTCAGAAAGTCGCTCAACAAGGGAATCAGCTGCAGGAACAAGAGATCCGGACGACAATGTATTCAAACGGGGATGAAAGGAAAATTGGGCGAAAAACGGGGAGACCCCTGTCGAAGCTGAGTCAGTGGTGTTGAAAACCAATTCCGCCATGGGGAGCAGGGAAACCCAGTCGTCCTGTCTATCCGAAACAAAGTGACGAATGAAGGTCTTGATTGTCTGGTTGGCGCGTTCTGTCTGCCCGTCCGTTCGAGGATGCCATGCCGTAGAAGGAGCCGGCTTAATAC